TTATGTTTTTATGAAAAGTATTTTAATATATAAAAATTTTGTAACACATCATTCATAAACGCAACAAATTTTAAACTTTTCACTATTATTAAGACAGTTTAAAATTTACTTATTCTTTAAAAAACTTGAAGACTCCACAACTTTAACTAAATACTAGCATTTCCATCATATTGGTTTATCAGTTGAGTAAACATATTCTTCACCAGTGGCCAAAAGATTTGCCAAATTAGCAGTTGCTGTAGAAAAGGCCTCCGTTTCTTCTGTAGAGGCAACTGGCCTTTTTCGAACTGCTGTCATTCCATACGAATATTAAAAACATACTCCATTTTATGAAAAAATAAAAATACTTAGATTAAAAAAAATGTATTTTTTCATAAGGTGAGAGCCTTCAACGTTTATCATAAAAACATTAAAGAAATTCCTACAACTCAAAATTTCAAACAATAATTTCATTCTTAACATACAGTAAAAATTAAAAAATATAAATTCAAAGAAATTTAAACAATAGTACAAAAGTCTTATTCACATTAGGAACCTTCCCTAAGTCAAACCCTCAAATTCTTTACCCAATTTTTATCAATTTCAATAATTTTTATTTTCCAATTCAGAAATGCAAAACTACATTTTAAATAAATGATAAAATTTTTAAATTATTAACTTTGATCTTAATATGATTTAAGCAAAATATTACCATCAATAAATCATAATACAATTAACTTATAAATGCAATTTTTTTAAACGTAATGTACTCAATTTGGAAATTAATATCACTTCCCTATCATATTTGATGACGTATGATAATATAGCATTCTTAGAATATGAAGAATTTTCCGAATAAAGCACTGAACATTCAAGAGAGCACAAAATACTATTTGGCATTTCATATTTCACTTTGATGACCTTCAAAGCACGTTGGATGTTTAATTTTCTTTCTACGCGATGATCGGAGATGCATAAACATTGTGAATATTCGAAGCGAGCAAAAACGATTAACCATATTTCACTACGTTGGCGACACTGACCTTGATTCGAAATACTTTTCACTTTTGAACTCACAGATACTCGATGATTTCAAAGAACTTTTAAAATATGCCGTTAAATCACACACCGGAAACGAATTTGATGATTAACTGGTAGTTTGAGGCAGCAGATTTCGAAATCCATTCTGGAAAACTTTCACCAGGTTAATCCTACCGACTTTTTATATATATGTAATGATTTCAAATATGCGTAGGTGAAACAGAAACATCTTAACAACTTAGATACTGCGTAGATGACTGAGAAGACTGCAGTGGCTTGAAGGTGGCAGAATGGAAAGCATGATGACGCAGTTTAGCACAACGTATCTTGAAAAATCACAATCGTTATTTTTCCATGCATATCAAATTATCCTTTTTCAGACAAGATGTTTTCTAATTATATTTTAATACATCACTTGCATTTTGAATTAGAAAGTCGTCTTAAGTAAGTAAGGAGCAGCATGGTTTAAAAGCGTCTTGCTAGAAGGAGAGCTATGCGATAAAGGGCAGAGTATCATAGAACATCAGAGGAAGAAGGGTGAGAGTCGAAAAAATTCAGTTCACAGTTTTGGTTTAGAATTAATTTGGTTGGACAAGAGGTATCTGCATTAAAACGTTACGTAATATAGAAAACTCTTTAACCTGTGAGAAGAGATGAATTTAGAGGTAGATCATCAAATTTAGAATGCTAATTTTGAGATCAACAATTATATTTTGAAACAGCTATCATATTTTGTTATATATATATATATATATGTGTGCGTGTGTGTAGGTAATATATTCAGAAGTAGGAATCTGGATGTCGTAGGAGTGTTGATCCATAATGACTAGAAAATTGGAGGCGAATGCAGATTAAATTTTCAGTTTTATTTTCAGCAACATGTTCCAAAGGGCTTACATTTTTGAAAACTTTGTAGCAAGAAAGCAGCAGCAGGCAGACAACAGTGTAGCTAGGCCAAAACTTGGAAAGCAAGTGCGTAATGTTCAGGATTAAATCTGAAGTCAAACTGAGTTAGGTTTGGTTCTCAAAGCATTCTGATTGGACAATTAATATTGCTGTAAAATTACTATTGGCTAGTTGAGTTTTAGTTCCATTTACATCATCATAATTACGTAAGAATAATATGACACAGAATAGTCTCAAAATGACGCAGCAGTGCAGAGAGAGGTTACTATTTTTAGAACAGAGAAGGGAAATTAATTTATCTGCTAATTTAATCTTATACATATTATTTATTTTTCTTACATATATATCGTATAGTATATATATATATATATATATATAGTATACAGCTCTTTTGTGCACAGTATTATCGTTTTATTCTAGTAAACATACGTTTATGTTCTAAAAATTTAGTATTTTATTGCTAGGTTGAAATTTCGCAAGATATATTGGTCATAACATTGAAAATTTCAGATGATTCCGGAAAAAAATATTAGCCACGAATTTCTGAATTTTTAAATTTCGAGATGACATTATGCTTAGCACTACTATCTCATATATTTCCCCTTTCAATTCTTTGATAAATAACTTTATATAACCTCTAGAGAATGCCATATCTACAACATTTAATTCAACTTGTCTACAAAATAATACAGATTGTCCCTTCAGAATACATTTAACTAATTCGTAATTAATTCGTTACTTTGTAATTTTATATAATATTATAAATACATATTTGTCCCCGCCTTATTCGGTTGTTTCAAATTTTATACTAAGTAACACAGCGTCGTTAACATTGCAGAAAAATTAGGAATTTTTTGGAAGACAGAGAGATGAAAAATTAGCAACCGCCTTCGCCGTGAATCGAACCACGAACCGCTGGAATACCGGCCCAGCGTGCTACCGTTACACCACGAAGGCACGCTAGAGAAGTGGGAGAAATACTTTACTCCCTTTTTTAAAGGGCGACTAGTGTTTTAGGGGACCTAGTCGCCAAATCCTGGGTGCGGAGAATCATCATCCACAATTCTTTTAGTTCGGGCGCCACTTGTAGGACTTGTGGATTTTTTGGATGCCAGAGAGATGAAAAATTAGCAACCACCTTCGCCGGGAATCGAACCACGGATCTCTGGAATACCGGCATAGCGTGCTACCGTTACACCACGAAGGCACGCTAGAGAAGTGGGAGAAATACTTTATAACATTAGCTTATAAATACCAAATGCTTTTAATAGTTATTGACTTATTGAAATAGTATAAATTAAACATTTTGTATAAATGGTTATTCATGACTCAGTGAAACATTAAAAAAAATGTAATAAATACATAAAGAAACTTTGTCAATTTTACTGTATTAAAATATTAGGAATATGAGAGAAATTCACCAACCTTCTTGCATAAACTTCGTTAATGGTCAGTATCATATGTATCATGTAGCAAGTATATCATGACCAACGCCATACGACCTGAAATACAATTACTGAGGTCTTTGAGATGAATGTTTTAGAACCGAAAAAAAATCTCACAAAGAAAAATACCGCTTAGAATTAAATCCGAAGACAGGAATGATGACTTTTTAATCCATCATTAACATGTGCTGCGTCCAGCATGGCCGTTCTCTTACACAACATTGCGGCAAATATAACTTGGCATAATTTCACAAATGATTTCTGTGATAGTGAAGAAGATAATTTTCGAAAAAATGTCATCATCATTGTTTTCATTCAACTGTAGCATCATTCGGGTTCCCTGTATATTTAAGGCTCAATAACTTAAAAAATACTCTCAATAACTTAAAAAATATCTATCACCTAATCAAATGTAGCACATTACACGTTTGTAAAATACGAAAGAAAAGTACAACTTGAAAACAAAATTTTGGAAGCTTTCAGATTTTACATTATGGCACAAAGGGGCGATTTTTTAACGTTTTGTGTGTTACCTTTATTTATTAAATATGTTCTTCGCCCTTAAACCATAAAATTCAATTCAACAGGAATATCGCAAAATAATTTTAAAATCAGCATACCGTTAGAATTTCTGTACACAATCTCGCGCCCTGGTGATAATTTTTTTTCGTACAGTGTTGCCATTGCTCACTTTGAAATCCTTGAGTTTGCTAATCAAAAATTCGTTAAGGTGTTACAAAATGAAAAATTGATAATAAAACAAATTCCTAATTCCAAATTAGGGCTGCCAGGTGCCCTTATTCGGTGCAGGATTACGTTATTCAAAATTCGATGGCTCCAGGTACCGTTGTTTTATTACAATGCGGGAAACGTACATACATTTATGCAGATTCTTCATTATTTAATTTTTTTAAATATAACACAGGCCGATAATATTTGGTGGCAACAATTTGAAAAGTGAAACGGGCATTTAAAGTTTCAACGCAAAATGCCAAAACGAAATTAATAGCCCTTCTGAGCTAACGCATTTTGGGCTAAAAGAATGTTCTATACCTCCTGTTCTACTGGGCCGATAGGCAAAACTTAATTTAATTTTTTCATGTTTCGAAAGCGCAACTTAGGCTATATATTAGATTCATACATATCATTGTTCTCACACAGGTATTTTAACACAAAATTTTACTTTTTCTGAAACAGCTTGCCGAATTTTTTCCCATACTTCAATATATCGTGCATTCTAGACGTAAAAAACTCAAATTAAATTCAGTCAATCAGCCCAGTAGAACAGGAAATATAAATATAGAACTGTCTAATTATTTTTGTGTTCGAGGGGTACTTTTTTTCAATGCAATAAAATTTAGTTTTGCTTGCTCAATTTATTTGTTATGGGTCGCATATAAATATAATATTTGTTATCTCGCATATTAATTTATACATCGAGATATATATATATATATATTTGTTATCGTGCATCTTCAAATCTGTGTAAGGCGAGATTCCTTATAAATTTGCGATGCGACGTTTTGTCAGAAAAAAGACCCTTTTTACGCATATTTTCCCATTTTAATGAATGTTCCATAAAATATCATAGGAATATAACAAATTTTATGAATCTTATTTTAATTACAGATATTCCAGATGCCCCACAGAATCTAGAAGTACATGATATATCTAGCAGGAGCGTAAGGCTGACTTGGAATAAACCATTTGATGGTAATTCTCCTATATTGCAGTACACAGTCATGTGGAGGCAAATAAATGGTAAGGATTCTTTGGCTAATTAACAAATATGTTTATGTAATAAAATAATCTAAAATTTAAATATGTGCAAATCATTTTAAAATGCGCCATTTTATATTCATTATATAAAACATTTTGTTGTAAAATTAATTGTTTTTCTATTTGAAGTCTGAAAATTATATTATTTAATGTCATGAAATCACCCGAGGATATAGATTCACTGATATTTTACCGCGACAAAAAATGTTTAGGTATATACTTATTCATCATGCAATTAAATTTGTCATGTAGTTACAGGTTTCTTATTATTTATTTAAGCATAGTAAGGTGTGAAATTTTATTTAAACATGTATTCGTATTAAAATTTATTTAAAGGTTTATTTTATTCCATACTTAATGTTTTTTTATAAACTTATTATACATAGAAGTCATATGAATTCTATATTTAAATAAGTCTATATTCTTCATTGGATTTAAAATACTGTAGAAAAATACCATTTAGTCAAAAATAAGTTTGATTCTTTTCAGTTTAATTAAAAGTTATTTTTCAAGTAATAATATTTTAATTTACACATTTATACTTCTATGTAGAAATCGGAAAGTATGTTGTATTAAGATATCGCTATGGTTCAGTTTATGTTTTATCTTAACAACGTACTTCCATCTTTTATAATGAATCTTTTAACATGTAATTCTGAATTTAATTCTAATTTGTCTTACATATAAAGTTCTGACTAATGATCTATAAATATGTGTATCATGTTCAAAATTAATTTCTTCATTTCGCGAATGTGGGATATATGTATATGAGATCACTTGGGAATCATAGCATATGAATTCATCTGTTGATAAAAATATACGCATAACATAATATAATGCGCACACGCATTACTTCTTTGACATCAGATAACCAATTTGTATTTTTCTTACTAAATTTTCTAGAGCAAAATATTTTTTTTTTTTTTAATTCTTAGACACTAAAATGTGAAAAAGTTACATTTACGTCCATTTCATAAATTAAACATTTTTTAGACGTAATAATACTTTTAGTTTGCAAGTAAGACGTCATTACAATTTACTCTCGATAAATATTTCTCTAAAATAAAATTTAAGAAAAGCGCAGGTAGACTGTTAGTAGCTTCTATATTTATTTTTTAGCGTTACATTACAATAATCTCTAATAGAACTTGATAATCATTCAATTTTCGTAGTATTTTAGGGTAATCTACTAGAATAATGTACATAAACATGATATTAAGAAACACCCCATTTTTCATAACATCCCTTATTTTTCTTTTAGATAAAATAAACGAAGAAACTTTTTTAGGTGAAATAGCTGGAGGGCCAGTGACAATTCCAGGATCCGAAACGACGCTGACGGTTCGTGGCCTCAGGCCCAAGACCAGGTACTTCTTTCGTGTGAAGTGCGAAAATTCTTTGGGGGAAAGCCAGTTTGGAGCTGAAGTAGCAGCTACCACTCTGGAAGAACGTAGGTATAGACTTTTCTGTCCTCATTTTTTAGCGCAGGACAGAAAAAAATATATTTTGTGATTCATCAACATTCTTATATTATGTGATAATTTTGACGAAACGAATTCATTTTCGGAGAGATCTCTAGTTGCTTTGTTTATTTCTAATACAGCGTAACCTTAAACTTGCACCAAATGAATGATAAATATTTTTTATATACACAATATCTGAAAACACCATTTGAAATTAATATGAAGGGCGAACTTTTGATTAAATAAGACATTCACTTATATACAGCAGGTAAGATAAAATAAAATTAAAATACCACAAGAGCATGATAATCTTTTATGCTAATTCCTAATGAATTAAGAAATGTTAATGAAAACAAATATCAACGAAAATAAGAAATGTACTAAAAACAGGTAAGCAGATAAAAACAAAACCATCTTAAATCCTACTGTAAAAAGAGTTTAAAAGCATTGAACGATCTAACTATCAGTAATAAGACCCGAATTTTACCAAGTAAGTGACTATATGAACTACATAAAAGAAAAACGTAAGAAAAACAGGGACATTGATGTTAAAGAAGAAATAAAACTATGGAACAAGAAAGTAAACAATGGAAATAATGGTGTAAAAAAATTATTATGAATAAAAAGTTTTAATCTTCCCTGTCTGGAGCTTCATAACAGAACTTTTCAAGGGAAAAGTGTTTTGAAGTTCCAAACTTGGTCGATTAAAAAGAGAGCACTGACAAATTTCGTTCTGAAGTTCAGTGAGACTTGTAAACGCAAACTTAACATATTTGTCAAATAATTAGAAGAAAAAGAAGTCTCGTTAAATTGTCTCTTTTCCCTATTTGTCTTAGCTTTCTTACACACACACAAAAAAAAAGAAATATTAACATGCATACAATGACACAGAAAAAATACGTTACAAATTACACAAATAGAAAATTTTTTACGATGCAAAAAACAAAAACAGAAAAATTCAAATTAGTCTCTGTTAAAGAATTTAAATATAATGAATATGAGGATTTTTTCTTATTAGCCATATTTGGAAAATTAAATAACCGTTGTGTTTCTGAAGCACGAAAGGTTAAAATATGAATCACTGTTAAGGGAGCATTATAAACAAATCGGTTCACTATTTCCTTTCAATAGATGCTGATGTGTTAATCTGCAGTGACCGATCTGTATGGAGAGTCAGCACGAGTTCCTCCTTTCCATTCCCTCCCAAGTTTCAGTACTTCCCACAGGGTTTCACCTGCGATATCTTATTCTCTTTTTGACAGTTCCAATGCAGCTGCCATATGGCTTCTTTATTTCTGGTTATCTGTCTTTGCTTCACTTTATTTCTGGTTATCTGTAAAAGGGACATTGTTTTCAGAAACAGCATCAGTTTATTTCCCAGAGGCATCAGCAAGTTCGTTGTCCTTGATACCAGCATGCTCAGGCACCGAGGAGCGTGCAACGAAGTAACCAACATTCTTGGGACAAAAATATATCTTTAAAATTTCTAAGATTCAGATGTTCGCAGAAATGCTCGAAGTTAAAAACTGCAATTCTGCAGTGAAGCAATCACAATTGCTTCATAATATTTGCCAGTAAAAAATGCTCTTAGTTAGTGTGAGTACATAATGTTTATCTTTTGCTAATCTCAAAAGAACAAGTTGCTTAGAAGTATTCACACTTTTGCGTTATATAAAGTTAGAAAAATCGTATCTTTTCTTAGATATGCACATATTGCCTTGAAATTAAAGAAAGTTTGCATACAATTGGACTTCGAAAATCCAATTCTGCATGCGCAAATGAAGATGAATTTCAGATACCGTTGCTGTTTTTGATAAATAATAATTACGATAAAAAAAACAATATGGCAATTTCGCCTTACGAATAACAAATTATAAAAACTTCACGAAGGTATTCGGCTTAGTATCTTTTTGTAACGTCTTCATATATTTTAGCGGTTTTATTTTGCGTAATAAAGAACATTCTACCATTCATGATATATCTAAGGCATACAACTGCTTAAAACAGAAATGGGTTCGGTTCTATTGCAGTTGTACTTTAAATGTATAGTTTTATAGCATTGATTTATAGATAAAATAATACGTAAACGAATATTTTGTGAAACAAATACTTTTGTTTTAAATTTCTTTTGGAAATTTACTAGCCATTTCTCCTGTGTAGTGGCTCCACGAAATTTGTTTCGCAGATTTTTCCAGAAACTTCAGCAACAAAGTCTTCACGCAGTTTCAGTACCCGTTCTGCACTTTAATGATTCTTCTTAGGCCACCTGTATATAAAATTCACTTATAGATTGCTGTTACATTTCTTTTTGAGTGCCATCATTTCGCCAACACCCAAGTTTTCAATACCTCTAATGTTTCTACCAGTCTACAATCCTTTACAATATTCCACGCTTGTCTGTGAGATTACTCCAATACGTATTTGGTTCTTTTATAATATTTGTCAAGATAAATAAATGCAGATTTGTAAAGGTTAAAATGTAAAATTCTTAAGCGAAAGACAGCTTGTGTGCCTTTTCGAAGTTGACGACAGACGTATAGCTGAAGTGAATGTGGAGTAATAAGTTATTCATGTTCAGATTCTAAACCAGCTACTCTACTGTTATTTTGGTAGGTTCGAAATTAAGGCTACAGTACTAGCACTTACGCTTTTGGTGCAAGCAACAATCGCTTTAAAATTTTGAGAAAATTACCTTTCTTCTGATATTCCGCTATTTTCTCAAAAGCATTTCTTTGCAGTTAACAGTATTTTAATTATTTTATTTATGCATAATTTGTTTTATTTTAAATAAGTCCATCTGCGAGTTTTAAAAATTTTTAAATTCGCATAATACTATTGTAATTCGAATACAGGCTGCTTTGATCGGTTAAAAACACCTGCAGAAACTGGTAAAATTTCTATTAGTAATAATGAAATATCGCTGAAGATTCATCTCTTTATATTAATAAGTATGTTGAAACTGGTTCAAGATGCGAAATATGTGTAATAATTTCTGAATAAAGAACTTCGATGTCAATTAAATATGAAAGGGCTATGCTTAATTTGCTAAGTTATCTAGTAGTTAATTGTATAGAAATTTTAGATTAACACCTACCTGTCAAAATTCAAAACTGCCTGTTTGAAAGAATTCCAGATGCGAAAATTCTTAGATGCGAAGACAGTAATTAGAGCCACGATATGCATCGATCAGTTTTATTAAAACTCTCTCATCTGTTCTGTAGTATATGACATTCTAAATTGGGCTGTTTAACTTCGAAATATAGTAAACGCCCGATAAATATTTCATGAAAATATTTTTAATTTTTTTAAACGACGGAAGTTTTTTTTTTTTTTTTTGCTTAATATAATTTACACATTCTTTTGCAAGTTCACGTCATTTTTGTCCCATTGTATTCTTTGAGAATTTCAATTATCTCCTCTAAGTATTTATTATTCTGGATTCTGTATTATTTAAAATATACATTTATCCGGTGAACAATTATGAACACCCTTTATGTCCAAAAGAAACATATTTACGCTATTATAAGACAATCTAGTTTTTCTTCTTGATTATTATGTAATTTTCTATATAACAGTTTTATGTAGCATTTTAGATTAAAAGAAGTTTTGATTGAAACTGATAGATTATTGTAAGTATTTGATATCAAAGTCAAATCTTTGCACGTAAAGAAATTTCTAAAGTTACAGTTTTCTTCCTCAAATCACATAATGAGTGTTTACATAAGGAAATTTTTTTCTTGTGATTATTCCATTGACTTCGACACTTTATTCCTTTTATCTTAAAACTTAAGAAGAATTTTAGAAATGTTAATAGTTTATGGTTGAATGAGTTTAGAAGTCATCACAAGAATTTGTTTTTTATAAAATAGTGTTATCTCAAAATACGCACTTCCACTCATGCCTTCAGGATGTAGCGGAAGTATCTTGAATCTAAATAAGAGCAAGTCATGGTTGAGAAAGTGGGTTTCTTATTATCTGGAGTACAAACCACACACGTACATTAAAACACTGAGACTGAAATATCTTACGTTAATATATATTCATCCATGTATGCAAAATAAATGGGAATATTTATCACTAATTCCTTTGTAGTAATCTCTCATGAATGATAGACATAAGGAAGTGCTTATCATCTATTTCTCAGTTAAGGAAAATTCGACTAAAGCATGGAAAAAATTTTTAAAATATAAAAAGAGGGGGGCAGCGATAACAAAGTATTTAAATACGTCAGTACGTTTTCACTGCTCGCTTTAAGCCTGGAAAAGTATTAAGAGATATAGGATTATTTTCTCTATCATTAGGTTAGTAATTCTACCGAGTATAGAATATTTAAGGGATTTTCAGAGATTTCGAAACTATCGAAACTTTTTTCCTAATTCACCGCTGTATAGTATCCATCGTCACAGCAGACCAAAAGTTAGCTAGATAAGCTATGTGCTACAGCAGACCAAAAGCATCTAACAACGAGCTAACTGCCTTAGAGAAGGTTCACTGTAATTGAATTTGTTGAATCAGTGTTTCCCATTTTTTTTTAGTATTGCGACTCACCGACATAAATTGCAATTAATTATGACTAACAGTTGCAGATGGAATTTGTTTTGACCTACAGCGTGTATTCTGTCAAATACCACTTGAAATTTTCTTTTCTTTTCCTAGTGGAGAGTTTTAGCCCTTTATAAGCGTAGGCCAGAACTAAGGCCAGAAGCGATGGTCTCTTTATTATAGAGGCACCTAATAATTGGACTACCGTTGCTTCCAATGAAGGAACGGACAAATTGTCATGCCTACTCCATGTCTTCTCCCGGATTCTATCTCGGCTTTTCAGTACTGCTGTGAGGGTTACTAACCACTTTCCCGCCTGAGAGGTTCCTCTGAAACGTATTATTAATATATGGTGTTGTATACAGATATGTGGTACAGATATGTGTACAGATCTATATGGTGTTGTGTACAGAAAGTACACAACACCCTACATTAATAAAACGTTAAAATATGTTAATAATTCGTTATGCTAAGTATAGAAAAATTATAGCTTTTAAATTAACCGAAATTAATATTAAATTTTTGAAAAATAAAAAGTTTTCTGTTACATGTGTACATACTGAAATCTAGCTATTAACAGGAAAATCTGTGGTTTTATTCCCGGCAAGAGTACATTTAGTTTTCTGCTTTTTCCGCTTCGAAAAACCTGATATTTTCCATAATTGCCCCCGACCTAATTGGTCACCACTTTGATTTCTCTCATTGAGTCTCGACTCATTTCTCAGCCTTTTGTAATCATGGGTGGTGAATGTAAGGAATCAGAGCCTTTCTGTTGGGTGCGTTTGTAGTGTAATAAATAGAGCTGTAGGGATCAGCATATACAGTTAACAATTGGAAGATTGGTGGTTCGACTCATTAGGCCGGAGGTTAAACCCCCACGGAGGAAATTTAGTAGTCTCAATTATGGGAAATAATTATAACATGAAAAAATTAAATATTGATGTGGTAAAGTAATTAATTTTGAGTTGGAACAAATAGATTACATTGTTCATTAAACGCAAAATAATAATTTATTCAAGTTAAGTAAAAGAAAAATTTTAATGTTAATTTTAGTAATAGCCTGAAATTTTTGCGAGATACATAAGCATAGAGCGATTTAAATTTTATTTGTTAAGCAAAAAAATATAATAAGATTATATGGCATCCATTATGTTGAATTTTGGTGTTTCTTATCTAAAAGGATAGGCATCTTTTAAAACGAAATTTGATGATTTCGAAATATGATTAATACTACAAACCTATAGGCACATTCTCCCTTACTCCAGCTAATTATTCAGTCTTTACTTTACAAGAAGCTTCCCAAAATTTATTTCGACAATGATGTACTTCATGCAAGCGGATTTAAGCTCTAATGGAAAATGAAGAATAATTTAAGATTATTGTAATAAATTTGGTTATTGAAATAAACATCAAATTTTAAAGAGAAAATTCTCTAATAATTATTCTGTTTGATAGGAAATTGTATGATATCCTAGAAATTGCTGATATTACCTCAAAACCCCATATTATCCATTAACATTTGCTTAAATATTTACAAAGTAAATAAATGAATGATTAAACTGGTGAATCATCCAAGATTGAGTACAATCTTTTGTTAGTATTTGAAGGGAAGAATATATAGCTATTATATATTGTTAGTATTTGAAGGGAAGAATATATAGCTATTATATATTGTTAGTATTTGAAGGGAAGAATATATACCTTTGAATTTTGTCGAGTAGGAAAATTATTTCAGAATAGTGGAATCTCAGTTACTGGAGGCTTATATACTAAGCTTTATGGAAGCATATTTGTTTTAAATCTTGATATGCTGAGCAAAATTACTTTTATCTCAATTTTAAAAACCACTTTTACTATCACATTATTTGGGAATACACTTATTTTAAAGGGTTTAATTTAAAATTTAACTATTTTAGTTTAAAGGTATTGTAATATCCTAGCTAAATTAGAAATCCTTGAGAGAGAGAATACTGAAGAACTACGTAGTCACTTATCGCAAAGTTCTACTCAGTGAGCAGTCCAAAGAAGCATTAAATTACCCTTTATTCCAACTCAAAATAGATGAATAGATAGTCCCTTCTCGAGCATACAATAAGCCCCCAACAGGGCTCTAACTCAACATCAGAAGTAATAACTAATATAACTAAAATAAAACCAGCCGAAGCTGCACAGAATTAACTAACATAGTTGGCCCTTATTTAAGATTACCTACAGATTCTAGCCGACACTTAAAAATTCGGCCAAATAGCAGTAAGATTAGACTAGCAGCAACAACGTTGGACGGAAAGAAGAGCACGTTGTTCTACACTTTTCTAGGCTTTTCTAGTAAGGTGACCCAGAATTCCTCATTTACATAAAACGTAATCCTAAAACCTCATTCAGGCAGTAAAAGGAGAAAATAACGGAAAAGCTTGTAAAAAAAAAAAAAAACAAAAAAAAAAAAAAAAAAACTATTAGAAAGTTAAAAAAAAAAAAAAAAAAAAAAAACTATTAGAAAATATTAAAAAAAAAAAAAAAAACTATTAGAAAATTAAAATATACCTATACATCATAATACTCTTCGTCATGGAACAATTATCTCAAAATTCCATTCCACCCTAAAACAAATTCTCCCTTGAAATCAGAAATATAATTAAATATTTTACCTAAATTTCGAAAACTTTGAAGTAAAATATTTCTCAAGTAATTACATTATTATTATAGCTTGATCTCAAATATTACTGTTTCAAAAAATAACATGGTATAGAATTTATTTATTGATTGATTTCTAGATTTTTTTTCATGTTGACAAAATTGATTAATTAACAGGTAACGGTAGCAACACAGAGAAGTTATTAGGTAAACAAGCATTTTATTTTAAACGTTTGCTCAAAAATCAGTAAGAAAATTATCTATAATGACGGTCAAGGATTGAAATATACTTTTCAGAACGCTTACAAACTTCATAATGATTATAAAATTACTGGAATTGGTTCTCTTATCTTTTCCTAAAGTTACTTCTTTTCAATTTTAGCTCCAAGACATGCACCAGAAGATGTAAAAGCCATTACTTTATCATCGAGAGCCATAAATGTTACATGGAAAGTAAGTAAGATATCTCTAAACTATATTTCATAATAAAATAAAAATCTAAAACTTATACATTGTAGTACAAAATCTCATTCTTTGGTTTAAAGAATGTGTTATCTAAAAAGCAAGGTTAAAATATTTGGACGAGAAACTTTTAGAATTTAATATAGGCACGACAAAAGGAAACTGAAATTTCCCCCAAGAATTATGAACGAGTGAACATGTAATTCCCTTTTCTCCCTCATAACTAAGTAGAGCTAATTTATCTGCTTTAACAAACTGCCACTCTATCATGAGGAAGTCAAGAACATGCTCTGCAATTGTTACCAAGAGCTGAACAAGTTTCAACTTTTGAGGAATTAATTATCTTTGTTCCTTAATCACATTCGTGAAGCTGCGTTATTTCTAACGGTTGGGAATAAGTCCAGAATTGGACAATTATTAATAATTTTACCCCAATGAAGCATAATTTTTTGCATAATTATAATACATATTTGCATTGTTTTAATTATATTCTGTTGCCAATAAAGAATAGTAGAGTTGGTATATTGAAGAGACAGAGGCTTATTTGTATTACCTAATGTTATTAAATACTGTATTACTTGTTCACATTTGTTTTGTACTTGATATGAGAAGAATCAAAAGCGAGACGTTTCCCAATTATTTCTTTGCAGTTTTAAACGGAAGCACATATGTTTTATTTCATTGTTCTTTCCTTACCTCATTTTATGTTTACATTTTCTTAAATTTACTCTTACATTTATTATCTGTTTGTTTTATCCTAGTTGTTTACATTAAATAAAGCATGAATCAATTATAAAAGCATTTCGTTTCCTGAATTTTGTATTTAATGATATATTTTGATCAAATGAAACAAACAGTATAAAAAAAAAAAAAAAAAAAAAAAAAAAAAAAAAAAAGATTTTTTCCTTTCTGCATTTTGATAAGCCGAAAAATACAAGCATTTAGATTCGAAACCAATATTTATATCTTCTGTGCATTGTATTTAAATACCTCAGTTCTTAAAATTCCTTTCCTACAAATATCAGTACAATTTAAATTTTGATAAGAAAGGAGAAAATCAATCATTTGATCCGAAAACTGAATAGAAATGTGTCATTTTAAAACACATGGCTGACTGCACGTTTTAAAAGTTTTGAAACACTCTGTGTACGCTATAACAGTTCTTTGTGAAGATTTTCCACAAACATAATGGATATTTAAACAACTGCATATTCTATAAGGAATACTTCTATAGCTACAAATCTCTTACTTTAAGGAACTGAAGTAATTTCGGTGTCAATGTTACATGCTCTTTGAACATCATGACACAAATATCATGAAATCATTTTATAAGCAATTATAAAGTTTTTTTTTTTTTTTTTTTTTTTTTTAAGTATTTCTTCACTAAATTTTATGTCACCATTGAGGAGTGACAGTACAAAATGTTATTGTTCTTAGTACGTTTCAGTAACAAGTACTAATACGGTACAATGTACATTATTTAGAGTACTAGAAAGTTATGTTTTTAAGACTTAAAAGAGCACGCATAAATATAGAAGATTAATAGCACTTAATTTTTTTAATAAAATTCTTAAGTCTATGTATACGATGTTCAGTATGTTCCTTCTGAAATACATGTTTCAAAACTATTTTTCTGCTTTAAATTTCTAAAATTCTGAGGAATGTCCTTTTTTCTTATCTCCTTCCTGCATAGAGTAAGTGGAATTACTTCCAGATAGCTCGAAATGTTCGGGGTTCAAATCCCGGAGAAGGTATCGCTGAGTGTTTTTCTGTTTTTTGCTTCGATAGCTACATAAGATACCTACAAGATAAAAGGATTTTTATTAATATGCCAATGTTTAGAAATTTTCAGCAAAATCACAATAAGCAAATTCAGAAATTTTACACACACATACTGAGTCAAGTCTGGAATGATTTCAAAACTTGATTAAACTGGAACAATATCTGGGATAACTAATTAGAGCTTGAACAAAAATAACAAAAGTTTTCCAGTAAGAGTTAATGTAATTAAAATTTTCTTTGTAGCGATTGAAGTACCTTACGAATAACAACAACACTTACTATCAGAATTGTAATGAAAGCTATCCATTAAGGAAATCTGTTAAAATTTAAAAATTAATCACGTAGCATAACATATTATTTAGAACGATTTTCAGTACCTTTTTTATGATAATCTTAATTACTGATATGGCAAAGCAGTTCTGTTTATGAAAATTTGGAACTGAATATTTTCTCCTTCCAAGATAATTTTCTCTGTTTGTGCTTCATTTTGGGCACTCCGTTACATTTATACATTTACTTCTTGTATGTTTTTGAAATCGTTACAAACTTTTGAGTCATTTTTTGAATTCAGAAATTTTTGCTACTGTCTTTTCCAGAACTATCAACATTTGATATAAAGTTTAAACTTATTATTACCGTAAAGAGAAACTTTTCTGTTTCTCACAGTGAAGAATTTTTAATAAAATCACCTCACGGAACCGCTCAGACACAAACAATTTATTCACATACTTTTCGCTCTAAAAGAGCAAACAGATATAGAAGTAAAGTACTTAGGTTCAAAAGGTATTTTCTCCCTCCTTTCTGCATGCCTTCGTTGTGTTACGTTAGCATACTCGACGCGTATTCAAGAGGTGAAGATTAGAGTCCCGGCGAAGGCACTGCACATGCGTGATTTCTCCTACTTCAAAAATGCCTAATAAATGCTGTGGCGTCCCAACTAATAGGTGCTGTATAATGCTTCTTCACCACTAGGATTTGGCGATTGGGTCCTATAATCTCAATTCGTCCTTGAAAAGGTGGAGTATAAGGTCGGATTCCCTTATTCTGTGCCAGTGATGGCTGATGAGGCATTTTCTCTCTCCTTTATGCATTCCTTTGTGATGCAACGGTCGCACGCTCGGTGAGCATTCGAGAGGTCCAGACTTGGGATCCGGTGAGGACATTGCACATTTTTCACGTCTCCCGCATAAAAATACCCTAATGGCCCTATAAGGTTATCTCAAAATATTTTTATTAATTTGGAGTAAAAAAATTTTTAATTTGATAGTACTATATTCTGTAATAAAGTATTGCCAAATATCATGATCAGTCGCACACGTTGAACTAGATCGACACAGTTGCTGAAATTAATAATTGCAGCAACTGTATGAATTAACCCTTTAGGCTGGACTCCGTATTAGGCGGCAGAAGCCGGTTGAGTCAAAAATGTTCCAGGAGGGAAATTTTACTCTAGTCCAAAGTTTTGCCAACCTTCTACCTGGTCCTGATATGGCTCATCAGGTTCCTTCTTGCAAAAATGACGATTAGGAATCTGACTCGTATATCTGATCGCGACTCTTGAGAAACGAGACCTTCCAGCTTTTCGTAACATCACTTTGATGAGTGAAAAGAAACCTATCCCATTCGTTAAAAGCGAAAGAATCACTTGTTGCATCATTCAACGAATCGGAATGTTTTTTTCGCACTGTTCATGGTGATGTCACGAGAGAGCTAGATGGCCTTATTCGCGATTTTTATGCAAAGTAGCCGACACTATCATACTTTTACGTTCAAAAGCGTACTGACATTAACTTATGCAAATATAAGCACACTAATAAGAACTCTCATTACGTTTAAAATCCCATTGCAGGTAAGAGAATAACGAAATTCGAGTTTTAAGCATTAGGAATAACAAAACATGCTACTTTAGTCAACTTTAGTTAGCTTAGGGATGAAGTAAATCTTCATCCCTAAGCCTGGCTACCAGCATTCTCAACCAGATGAAGAACATAAATTTATTATAGTTTGCCAAAACAATTTTACTATTTTTTTACGTAATTAAAAACATTAATGGTAATCTCACTATTTTTCAGAATAACATTTGTATTAAAGAATGATCATCTTTTAAATAATGGTTTTATTATGAACTGGTTTTCATACTTTGCATAAAGAGAAATTGCCATTCTATAGAATGCTTAGGTATTATATACAATACTTAGGTGAATATACAATAATTATCTTTCTTTATACTTTGCTTAAAAATGTCACTCTTTTTATAAAAGGCAACAGAATGGTGGAAATTCGTACATTGCCAGTAACATATAAATGCTCATTAGGTGGTTTTTATTAATTATATATATCATCTATATTATCATCCTAAGAAAGAATGAATTTTTGTCATCTTTAAAAAGCATTTATAACTCATTTGGATTATTATAAACCCTTTCAAAAATATATAAATGCACTATAACCCTGTAATTTTGACGTTGTAAGTAGACAATATACGAGCTGTCTGAGCTTCGTATAGCGGCAAATTCATTCACCTTTGAAATTTGCCTTCTGGAAACAATATACCTTCAGCAATATATTTACCTTACAAAATCAACCTCGTGACTATCAGTTCATTATTAGAATTGCGTTGCGTTGTAGGGCTATCTGTGTAGCTTTTATACAGATCATATGTCTATGCACCGTTACTGTATCAAATGTTTCAGTTTTCGTAATTACTTAATCTTCAGATTTATGTATTGTAATGAAAAGTTTAACGCTGATATTATTTTGTAATGAATGCCATCCTTTACCTAGAATTATTTTCAAGTCTTCAAATAAAATCTCATTTTTATGAGAAATTAATGAGTTATAATATTCGGTGGCTATAATAAGTTATAATATTCGGTAAACTTTGCAAGCAAAGCAACTCATTCTCATGCTTGATATTTGCATATTTTCCTGATTAGAAGAAAAATAAAAATATGTTTTATGGGTATTTTTATAACGCAGGAAGAGATTAGAGATTTTTTTCCCTCTGAATAAAAGCTGTGATTTTTGCTAATTAGGTACTTAGAAAAGAGATGCCATATAATCACCATAATCCTTAATGAATTGTAATGGATTGAATGCATGCAGAACCAATGATAGCTTGATAAAATTTATTTTTCCGAAAGAAACATTTCACAGTTACGGAATGTTTCGCAAGTACTCGTACTACAATTCTTCTCATTATATGACAA